GAGTAGTGGAACCATCAGTAGAAGCTTGATTAGCATAGGTGGGTCTCCCATACTTGATGATAATTCTCGGTTTGTTCAGCTGCCCCACAATTGAAAGATTTCCAATCAGAATGGTTACCACGACTTGTACAACTAGCACATCCTCCATGACCAATACCTCTACCACCATGACTATCACTTTGGGTTGGATGACGTCCGCCACCATTACCACCACTACAACCACGACTACCCTTGCGAGAGATCAAAACAAAGGTGATGGTGCAACCATTGGTTGGTTGGACCAATACAGTCGACTTTGAAAGTTTAGGCGAAAGACTATGAATTTTTGGTCCAAAGGGAAGTGCAATTGGTAGTTTATTAGAATTAGTGTTATTATTATTTAATTTAGGAATANGCGCAACCATTGGTTGGTTGGACCAATACAGTCGACTTTGAAAGTTTAGGCGAAAGACTATGAATTTTTGGTCCAAAGAGAAGTGCAATTGGTAGTTTATTAGAATTAGTGTTATTATTATTTAATTTAGGAATACTTGTTTGACTAGAAGTATTAGTTAGAATTTGATTAGAAAATTATTACAGAGTTTTAGTAGTATAGGAGTTTAAAAGTTTGATTATGAAACTCTTTTAAAATTTTAGCAAGAGAATAATTTTTATTTTGGTAGGGAATTTGGCCTATAAATATCGATGTAATCCCCACTATTTTTATTAGAGAGTGATATAATAAAAAAATGTGTGGCTGTAGAAACTTGTGTTTCTTGACCTAATCCCTACGAGATTTTGATATCTTTATTATTTCTTTCTATTATCTTATTTCTTCTTTTACTATGCTACATCAAAAGGAATCTAGTAATGATGAAGTCTCACGATTCAGTGAAGCACGTTGAAAATGAAAATAAGCATCAACAACGGTGGAAGGTTTCTCAATAGCCAAAATCTGGCCTTTGAACACACGGTACTCAAAGTTAAGGCTAGATACTAACAACACAACCTAAAACTCTTCACGCAGACAGTTCTATATCTTGATATCCATGCTCAGTGTATGATAAAGCATAAGTTCTTCCCATATCCCTTTCAAAACGCCAAAATGTTCACCTAGAGATTTATCACCTTGTATGGTATTAAACATACACTCAATAGAACATAAAGTAGGGCAAATTATGTTCTTGTGAATTCATCTGCTCAAGGGAGTTCATATCTTCTTGACCTTGTCAAGAAGATGAAAATTAGAAGATGCATAAGGTTCCATATTAATCTGCAACCAAGTCATCATCGAAGAACTCTGGCTTCCCAATATCAAAACATACATAGGAACAAGGAGGAACATTAATCTTCATCTAAACAATGACCAACGATGGAAAATGTGAGAAACAGTGGCTGTTGACCCCTTTTCCAGGTAAAAATACTAAAAAAACCAACCAAAAAATAGTGGGTGCCTAACATCAAACATCCCAAAACTTAATCGCATCCCACTGAAGAGATTTGAAGCATCAAAAAAACTTTGGATCGGCTTGAATCAGCAAATCGAAAAATCAGACCCTGTTTTTTAGAGAATCATTCAAAGATAGCAAACCCTAATTAGATGGCCTCAAAAATTAAGCAAAAATATCCATAGTTATCAGCGCAAAGGAGTCGGTGTGGGTTCTAGTGATTGGAAACTGTTAACGTCATTCTGATGTAAGCATCATTGACGATGATGTCAACAACTATAGAGGTTTTTTAATTTCCAGATGCGACTACTACACTTTCTTGATGATTTATTGCCTCAAATAGTCTCTAATATCAAGTCAAAATAATAGCAGTAGATATAAGGTTTGAGAGATTGAGAAATATTGGGGGTAATTGCAATATTACCATATACTGACTCGTTATGACTGGTAACATAAAAGAACTCTAAAAGAGAAGCTAATGGTTCCTTCTTTGTGCACCCCTTTTGCTATCGATTGGGATGCTTTCCTGGTGGTGATTTCCTGGCATGTAGAGAATCTTCATGTGTTCCTTTCAATGTTGTATTCTTTAGTTGGATTGATGCGAAGGTCAATATTTGTTTACTGGTCAATGATATAGTTGAATGTCGTTTACTGGATATGGGCGTCGTTTGTGGGAAGATGTAGAATGATTAAATTCATTTATTAATGACTAGGGAGCTGTGGACTATTTAGTTCAACAGGTCATCTCTTCTGCTTTCTAACATGGCTCCTTTTCCTGTGGAGCTAATCCTCCTCCAAGGGAAAGCTATGTTGGATTTCATAAATAGTTGTTTGATTTTAAGGTTGTTGGGTTTATGGGTTTATGTATACGTATTGTGTATAAGTTCTTAATGCCATACTTAGATTAATTTAATAACTCAATGTTTGTTCTGGGTGGTATGTCTAGAAAAAATAAAAATCCAACTCTTCTATATGGGATATTCTTGTTGATTCATCTTGGTCGACATGTGTTTTTATCTCATCTTCATCTTTGATCCTTTTATTTGTTGGGGACTTTCAAAAAAAGGAGAGTTTACTTCTAGTTATTTGAGTTGCGAATCTTAGATAAGGTGTGAGTTATTGCTCTATTGACCCTTTAAGTCAAACCTTCTCTCTTTTGAGGTTGTGTAATTAAAGAGGTACAATGCATAACTGAAATACCATTAAATAAATCAAAACAAACATATCCAACATCATCTAACTAAAACCTCCAAAACATAAACCATTAAAGGGTTATATTCAAGACTCCTTAAAACAAATTAATTATTCTTCATCTAACTAAATAAAGAAACATTCATAACTATTATCCAATCATGAAAGTTCAAACATTTTAAACTAGCAAGCCAACTTCTAGGCCTCAAATTTTAGACCTACATTCTGATATGCTTTATCCCAATCCATCTGCTCACCTATCCGTATCACCCTCAATACCAAAATATGAAAAATGCTAAAGGAAGGGGTGAGTACAACTAGCTTAGTAGGAAACTTTTTCAAATCTAAACAATGTTTATAAAATTTTATAAAAATAGGTAGGTTTCAAATTTACAAAATAAATATATATATTTTGAAAGTAATTGTGTGACATTTAATAATGATCTCAAGTTTTGGTATATGTAAGGAAAATTCAACATAGAATATCTCATTTAGTAAACAACTGCTTATAATAGGAGTATCTTATGTAAGCAGATGATTAATAAGAATTCACACCCAGAATATATTTGGTCCACACACACACAAATTCTCCGGTCAATCCCGGGAGGGATACACCATTTTAGGAAGCGCGTATACCAGTGCATCGGTATTTAATGTTATCTTTTTAGGAATAGTATACTAATTCTCAATCTCGGTCCCTGTGAGTGAATAGTGGTTTGGAATCCCTCAAGGAACCAACAACCCACTACGAGTGATAGGTAAACCTTTAAACCCCTCAAGCTATGAAACTAATTTAATCATTTTGCTGTATAAGTTTGAACCCAATCCAAGTTCCTCAATCCCATCCATACAAGAGATATAATTCATGCCTTTTAATAAAATTCACGTATACCATGTACAACAATTCCACAATTGGTAAAATATAGGAAACTTTAATAAAAACATTCATAAGATTGCAAAAAGCATTATTTGGTTGTCAACATTCAAGATCTAGGGTTTCACGAATAAAAAATGTACAATCGGATGTAAATCGGAAATTTTTCCAATAAAACGATTCATGCTTTTATAGGAAATTCAAAATAGATTTAGATTTGTAGCATGTGTACGGATTCAAGTCAAAAATTACATGCATAATAGTCCTAGCCTCAATGAATAGGAAAGGGAAAAAAAACCCTACCTTGATTCCAAAGAAAATTGCTCCTAAAGTATTTTAGTAATTGCTGCGTGTGAATCTCGTCATGATCTCTTAGGCTCCTTAGGGTTGAAAAGCATGTAAGGAAACCCTAAAACGTGTTCATAGGGTATTTATATTGTAAAAAATGGAGCTAAACATCGCAAATTGATTGCACCAGGACTCTTGTGCGTATCAGGACGCAGCTTGCACGTCTGGACTGACTAAACCTTTTGTCCGGATGTAAACCCCCGCACCTGGATGCACATATCCCATTCGGATGGACTAAATCACTACCAAAAGTTTCACTGGTCTGTCGGGATACACCATTTACTGTGCGAATGCGTGTGACTTACTGCTTGATTTTGACCTAGTTAGAGGTGATTCACGAAGTTTTCATGAAATTTACTTTTGTAGATCTCGATGTCTGCTTTCCAATGCCACAAGAACTAGCTAAAGTTAATACTCAGGTTGTGTTAAATTCCTTCCTAGTCAATTTCTCCTAAGAGTGATTACCCAAAAAATGTCAAGTCACCTGAAAGTCTCAATTACACCTACAACATACGAACTTTTGCAAGAACTTAGTAGCAATAATTTAACAAATCCAATATTGTAATAATCTATTATAAATTAAACTAAATACACTAGGTCTTACAATATATTACGTAATAAATGAAACAGTTCAAACGAGTTGAACTTTCTTAATCTAGTTCCGTGTTCTTTTTGCCTAACATATGATACTTTTGCTTGTTGGCATTGGGCTGTTCTTGTCAGATACCAAAAAAGGGTCTCTTACTTTCATATGATTAATGAATAAATTTATTCTGTGAGTGGGTTTGATGCATTGGTAAGTCATGACTTGTCCGTTAAGTTTTTTTAGTCGCCGGAACAATCTCTTCGCATGCGGGGGAAAGGCTGCATACATTTTACCCTCTAGACCTCACAATGGCAACCTTGTGCGCTGAACTGCCCTCTTGCTATATGATGTCTTGTCTTCTATTGTTCGAACTCAAAAATCATCCTGTCCTCTGACCAGGATTCTGGACCATAAACCACAACATTTTTTGACATGTATATGGTCATTGGTCACCTGCAATAAGTAATAAAAATCTACATATTCATTTCAGAGAAGACAATCTGATTCCCATGTAAAATGTCCATGATTCCATCATGCATGTGTTGTTATGTTTTGTTTTGTTTTGTTTTACCAGGCATCATCTGGAAATGCCATTTCTGGGAGCATGGCAGGGCCTCATGTAATGCCAAGTAGATCTGTCCCTCGGCCCATGCCAATGGTTGGCATGCAAAGGATGCAACCTCAGGGTTTAACGGGTTATAATCTCAGTTCTCAGGCAGGGATGGGTGGTCAAATGAATCCTGGGGGCATCCCAATGCCACGAGGTGTTACTGCCCAGGCTCATCAACAGCAGCAGGTTTTCTCTGTCTAGTCAAAAAAATGATGTTCTTGTGGTTGTGTCCCTTCCTTTTCCTGATCATATATCATCATTTGGAAATAGATGAGAAGAAAAGACCCAGGAATGGGAATTACAGCATACCCTCCGCAACAGAAATCGAGGCGCTTCTGATGAGGGTCTATTTGCACTTCACTGGATGCACCTGTAACCACCTGAGGGTACCTTGCCGAAACTGCTTTCATTAATTTATTACATCTTGCAATATTGTTAATGTGTTTTGTAGAGCTTGTTTTTTCTCACTTCAAAAGGTATTTTGCTTATAGTTTGGTCCGACATCATTGTTCTTAAAAACTCCTAGTGGCTTTTATTACCATTGGCCATGTTATTGGTGTTTATTTTATAATAGTGTGAACCTCACATTTTTCGAGCTTGTCAAATCTGCATCTTGCCTGTTGTCTGTCACATGCGTAGTCTTGAAGTCACTAATTTTCAGTGAAGATAGTGTGCACTCCAAATTCTATTTTTCCTGGATTTTCTTCCTTCTCTCTAAATTTGAAGAAATCAGTATCTAGTTTTTTTTTCTCTTGAATTGCTGTATATTTCTGCAAAACTTGGTCAACTTTCCAGCCAAATTAAGTATGAAATTTCAGAACAGCTGTTTCTTTTGGTGAATTTTGAATCCCTTTTCAAAACTTGTTTCTTTTTTTAAATTCACCAAGTGTTCTAAACCTTTTCGCTGAGTACTCCTTTATAAGTTTTCACTCGTTCAAATTTGGTTGTCTGGTTGAAAGCCATGTTTTGCAGGGTCTCACCATGTTTTAATGAAAGTTTGATAACTTCTCATGTTTGATTAGCTGCATATTATTACGACTAATTTACAATGGAGNTCGTAGCAATAATTTAACAAATCCAATATCATAATAATCTATTATAAATTAAACTAAATACACTAGGTCTTACAATATATTACGTAATAAATGAAACAGTTCGAACGAGTTGAACTTTCTTAATCTAGTTCCGTGTTCTTTTTGCCTAACATATGATACTTTTGCTTGTTGGCATTGGGCTGTTCTTGTCAGATACCAAAAAAGGGTCTCTTACTTTCATATGATTAATGAATAAATTTATTCTGTGAGTGGGTTTGATGCATTGGTAAGTCATGACTTGTCCGTTAAGTTTTTTTAGTCGCCGGAACAATCTCTTCGCATGCGGGGGAAAGGCTGCATACATTTTACCCTCTAGACCTCACAATGGCAACCTTGTGCGCTGAACTGCCCTCTTGCTATATGATGTCTTGTCTTCTATTGTTCGAACTCAAAAATCATCCTGTCCTCTGACCAGGATTCTGGACCATAAACCACAACATTTTTTGACATGTATATGGTCATTGGTCACCTGCAATAAGTAATAAAAATCTACATATTCATTTCAGAGAAGACAATCTGATTCCCATGTAAAATGTCCATGATTCCATCATGCATGTGTTGTTATGTTTTGTTTTGTTTTGTTTTACCAGGCATCATCTGGAAATGCCATTTCTGGGAGCATGGCAGGGCCTCATGTAATGCCAAGTAGATCTGTCCCTCGGCCCATGCCAATGGTTGGCATGCAAAGGATGCAACCTCAGGGTTTAACGGGTTATAATCTCAGTTCTCAGGCAGGGATGGGTGGTCAAATGAATCCTGGGGGCATCCCAATGCCACGAGGTGTTACTGCCCAGGCTCATCAACAGCAGCAGGTTTTCTCTGTCTAGTCAAAAAAATGATGTTCTTGTGGTTGTGTCCCTTCCTTTTCCTGATCATATATCATCATTTGGAAATAGATGAGAAGAAAAGACCCAGGAATGGGAATTACAGCATACCCTCCGCAACAGAAATCGAGGCGCTTCTGATGAGGGTCTATTTGCACTTCACTGGATGCACCTGTAACCACCTGAGGGTACCTTGCTGAAACTGCTTTCATTAATTTATTACATCTTGCAATATTGTTAATGTGTTTTGTAGAGATTGTTTTTTCTCACTTCAAAAGGTATTTTGCTTATAGTTTGGTCCGACATCATTGTTCTTAAAAACTCCTAGTGGCTTTTATTACCATTGGCCATGTTATTGGTGTTTATTTTATAATAGTGTGAACCTCACATTTTTCGAGCTTGTCAAATCTGCATCTTGCCTGTTGTCTGTNCCGAAACTGCTTTCATTAATTTATTACATCTTGCAATATTGTTAATGTGTTTTGTAGAGCTTGTTTTTTCTCACTTCAAAAGGTATTTTGCTTATAGTTTGGTCCGACATCATTGTTCTTAAAAACTCCTAGTGGCTTTTATTACCATTGGCCATGTTATTGGTGTTTATTTTATAATAGTGTGAACCTCACATTTTTCGAGCTTGTCAAATCTGCATCTTGCCTGTTGTCTGTCACATGCGTAGTCTTGAAGTCACTAATTTTCAGTGAAGATAGTGTGCACTCCAAATTCTATTTTTCCTGGATTTTCTTCCTTCTCTCTAAATTTGAAGAAATCAGTATCTAGTTTTTTTTCTCTTGAATTGCTGTATATTTCTGCAAAACTTGGTCAACTTTCCAGCCAAATTAAGTATGAAATTTCAGAACAGCTGTTTCTTTTGGTGAATTTTGAATCCCTTTTCAAAACTTGTTTCTTTTTTTAAATTCACCAAGTGTTCTAAACCTTTTCGCTGAGTACTCCTTTATAAGTTTTCACTCGTTCAAATTTGGTTGTCTGGTTGAAAGCCATGTTTTGCAGGGTCTCACCATGTTTTAATGAAAGTTTGATAACTTCTCATGTTTGATTAGCTGAATATTATTACGACTAATTTACAATGGAGACAGACCGGTATGAAAAGAATTTATGTTGTGTACCTTCACTAAAACAAGAGAAAAAGAAAAAGAAAAAGCTACTAGATTGTACGTGTTTTGTAATCTTTTCATTTTCAATTACTAATTACATTTATCCACACTGAAATTCACTCGTAGAATCCTGGTTGATATTTTTACATCTTTACTGGATTTGATGTAACCTGTATCTGTGCCTCACTAAAAAAGAAGAGGCAAAAAAGAAAAAAAAAAGCGGAAAAGAAAAGAAAAGAGAAAAATCTGTCGGTACTCAACTCAACTCAATTTTGTAGATTCATGTTCATATTCAGCCTTTCGGTCTTGAATCAAAATTCGGCTTGCCATGGCTAGGTTCATGCAAGGAAATGATAGAAATTCACGTGCAAGTATGGAAGCCCAGAGTCCTCCAGTACTTGCCGGGAAGCAGAGTTGAGGCCATTGACATAGCTGCTTTAGTATCTCGCTGTTGATTACATCCCACTGCCGGAATGTCAGCTGATGTTTTATGTGGTAAATGACTCTACGCCATTTTTGCGTACAGCCTGTGCATTGCAACTTTGCTGTGCCTGTGTTTCAGTTTCATTACCAAAGATTGATCAGTTGTCAGTTCCATGGCGGAATGATGAATCCACTAGTATACAAACAAAAATGCAGCTGTAAAATAATCTTTGTACATCTATTTAAAACTCTCTCTCTCTCTCTCTCTCTCTCTCTCTCTCTCTCTCTCTCTCTCTCTCNGCAGCTGTAAAATAATCTTTGTACATCTATTTAAAACTCTCTCTCTCTCTCTCCTGGTAAATTCTGCCTTGCATAGTTATCAGGCCATTAGTTGCATTGCTACGAGTTGGCGAACGCCTTTATTTTTTGAGCCCGTTTCATTTTTTGTGTTTCAGCTGGAGGCATATATGTATAATCCTTATTCTGAATAAATTCATGAACTTGTGCCTTTTTAGTCAAAATATTGTATATATGAATGGTCTATGTTGTATTTCCAGCAAGATTGTAATCAATATGATTTTGCTAAGGAATGAGTGCCCTAAATGTACTAAAAACACTTTTAATTGATGACTTTCATTTTTTTGGTGATTGACCACTGTATTAAATTCAAGCATACGTCAAAGGTTTATATGCTTAATAAGGATTTCATCTACGCCAAAGTAGTTGTATCGTTGTTGATTTAGAACTAGAATGACGTCATAAGTAAATGGAGAGGTCTTCCTTCCTTGCTTTAAATAACGCAAAGCACACATGTTTCATCTCCTTGAAATCAAACATAGGCCTCTGGATTTGGCAGGAGTTAAAAGTAAAGATTAGTGTCAGGTAATTCAATATACATTTGAGGCGTCAGGTGATTAAACAAAGATCTCAGAACAGAAGCACAAAGAAATGAACAGCTTTGATCAATTGTAGGAAAGGTGCAATATAAACTGAAACTATGATCTAAGGCCATCTACCAGCTCTGGTCCTTATGAAGCTGCAGCTAAGGCAAGTGCCATGGTTACCAAGATGAAGGGGGCAAACAATACTTGGACGACCCACATTGAAGGGGAATTTTTGACAACATTAAAATAATCTTTTCACATTCCCCTTCAATGACTATTGTGTATGCACAGGTTGATTTGAGTTGTAGTTTCAAAAAATTAATGGGAACCAAAAGGTTTCCATAACTCGGAGGATATATCTAAAGCTTTTGGATTAACCCTATCAAATGAACTAATGACAGCACCATCTACTTTCGCCAAATATGTTCATTAATATTATTTTTTATTGTGACTGTTACAAACACTCTTCTTGTGGACTCTTGGGTGGCTATTAACTCCTGATATCCTCAATTCCACGTATCATTCGACAACCCCAAAACTCAATTGACAAATGTCACTGTTTGTTAAAGGAAGCTTGCCATATTCCCACCATCGGTTAGGGAGTACGCTTGTAGAGAGCCATAGATGAATGAAACCAGCAGACCATGGAGGTGGATCAGTGCACATAATAATCATTGACGAAACACAATCATTGTGTTGTAAGTTAAGCATATATAACATCATGTCTGACTCAAATTTAAATTTGAGTCAAAATAGTCTAAAAAACTTCTCTAACCGTAAGTCTAAATTTATACCAAATCAAGAAAAAATTAGTCTTGGACCTAAATTGAGGGAGATTTAAATCTTATATCAAATTTTTAACCATAACTTTTTATTCTATGTAAACCTAAAAGACTCCTCTGACGGGACAAGTTTTTACCTCTCTTGTTTCTATCTTCGGAGCCGCCATCGTCGTCGACCACAACGCTTCTCCCTTCCTCTATTCTTTGACGGTAAATTTTATTCTCTCTCTTCTCTATCTATGTCTTTTTATGCATTGAGTTTATTCTTACCGTCTTTTCTTTTGATTGATATTACTACAAATTTATAGGTTATAATATCGGGAGGCTTTTCTTTTACTTTCTTTTCTGTTTTAGAATTAGTTGTACAATTCGAATATATATAATAAGACTTTTTTGTATTAATTTTTTAAGTTTTATTATCTAAGAGTTATAATTCGAATAAGTATAATGATATTGAGACCTAAAAATTGTATCTTATGATTGTAATCATTTAATTAACATCAATTTTTAATGTTTGATGGGGTTCACAGTCAATTCAAAAGTTGTAGTTGATAGAGTTATATATTAAAAACTTGTTTTTTGTAATGAAACTCAATTTATTATTTAATAAAAATTATTTATTTCCTATTTCAATGAGAATTTGTGTAGGTAAAACATTTGTATTATATCAAATATATGATATACATATNGTTGCATTGCTACGAGTTGGCGAACGCCTTTATTTTTTGAGCCCGTTTCATTTTTTGTGTTTCAGCTGGAGGCATATATGTATAATCCTTATTCTGAATAAATTCATGAACTTGTGCCTTTTTAGTCAAAATATTGTATATATGAATGGTCTATGTTGTATTTCCAGCAAGATTGTAATCAATATGATTTTGCTAAGGAATGAGTGCCCTNAGAAGACTCCTTTGACGGGAAAAGCTTTTACCTCTCTTGTTTCTATCTTCGGAGCCGCCATCGTCGCCGACCACAACGCTTCTCCCTTCCTCTATTCTTTGACGGTAAATTTTATTCTCTCTCTTCTCTATCTATGTCTTTTTATGCATTGAGTTTATTCTTACCGTCTTTTCTTTTGATTGATATTACTACAAATTTATAGGTTATAANCTAAATGTACTAAAAACACTTTTAATTGATGACTTTCATTTTTTTGGTGATTGACCACTGTATTAAATTCAAGCATACGTCAAAGGTTTATATGCTTAATAAGGANCGAAATGTACTAAAAACACTTTTAATTGATGACTTTCATTTTTTTGGTCATTGACCACTGTATTAAATTCAAGCATACGTCAAAGGTTTATATGCTTAATAAGGANGCCTTTTCTTTTACTTTCTTTTTTGTTTTAGAATTAGTTGTACAATTCGAATATATATAATAAGACTTTCTTGTATTAATTTTTTAAGTTTTATTATCTAAGAGTTATAATTCGAATAAGTATAATGATATTGAGACNGATTTCATCTACGCCAAAGTAGTTGTATCGTTGTTGATTTAGAACTAGAATGACGTCATAAGTAAATGGAGAGGTCTTCCTTCCTTGCTTTAAATAACGCAAAGCACACATGTTTCATCTCCTTGAAATCAAACATAGGCCTCTGGATTTGGCAGGAGTTAAAAGTAAAGATTAGTGTCAGGTAATTCAATATACATTTGATNTGTGATTTCATTGTAATCATTTAATTAACATCAATTTTTAATGTTTGATGGGGTTCACAGTCAATTCAAAAGTTGCAGTGGATAGAGTTATATATTAAAAACTTGTTTTTTGTAATGAAACTCAATTTATTATTTAATAAAAATTATTTATTTCCTATTTCAATGAGAATTTGTGTAGGTAAAACATTTGTATTATATCANAGGATTCAGTATTCGTCAGGTGATTAAACAAAGATCTCAGAACAGAAGCACAAAGAAATGAACAGCTTTGATCAAT